CTGCTCTGAAATCAGTGTAGCTCCGACCGAGGCCGGGGAGAGATGAGTTAGAGGAGAGGCCCCGAAGCAGCAGCAGCAGAGGAGCAAAGACTGTGGTGCAAAAAATGACTTGCAAAAACATAACTAGCATAATTTCCCCTTAAAAAAAGCCCCAGAATATCGCCAACCTTACAGTGAGGGGTTGTTCAGCCAATTTACAAAAACTAATTTAAACATATTTTTTCACTCACAGAACCTGGGGCAGGGTGTAGTTGTGCAGACAGTTGCGGTTTTGTAGGAAATTTTGTTTTACACGCTCAAAGCGTCGAAAAACAGTCGAGGGGAAAAAACAGTAAGAGGCTCAGATGCTTAAATAAAATAAGGTCACATAAAGGTGATCCAGTGAAAGTAAATATTGTCCAGTGGCTAAATAACAGTAGACTTGTTTTAATTAATCACTGTTTACATGAAGTTCTCATTGTTTCTGGTCTATGATTCCTTAAATTTAGGCCATTGGCGGTTGTCAATAGTTCTTCCAAAGAGGGATTTTTTTGCCAGTAAACTTCTCGTATGGTTTCAAGCTACAAGAGGAAATAAACTATCTGGTTGGTTTCAAGGAAAAGTGCAATAGATTAGAGAGCAGTGTAGCCAGGAAAAAATAAATGCACTTTCCTATCCCTATACCATGAAGCATCTCATCTTTTGTTCCATTTCAGGCTGATTTAGGTGACCCTTAAATGTTACCACATAACTATGTTTTTTTCTATTGAAAAAAAACATTTTAAACCATGTTTTTATGGTAATTTATGGTTAAAGTTAACTTTTCCTGCAACTGGAGGCCAGAGAGGGAATTTTTTAGTTCGAAACGAGGCTACAGAAAGTGCTCCTCCACAAGGAAAGAAGTAAGCAAAGGGAAAGTGAAAATGAGTTTGCTGAATTTCCCCACAGAGAGATAGATAGGCCAGATCATATCTCACCTCTCATCTGCCGGGTCAAGATACAGACAGGTGGAATGAGTCCAATATAGAGATATGAAATATTCAGCAAGCGAAAGCCTTCTGTCTGTTCCACCGACCCGAGTCCCCGAGGAGTTTGTGTTTGCGAGCATCTGTGTTTGTTTGTAAGCGCGCAGGTGTAAAGAATGCGTCCTGTATACACGGAGAGAATATGGCGGATGAAGAGAAGCTCTGAGAAAAACGCTGATAGACACATTTAGCGAGAGTGTGCAGGCAGTTTTCAAAGTCTTAACGGTGTCAGTGACAGTTTGTCATAACAAGCCCATTGAAGCTGCGACTCTGTCTTCCCCCGACTGAATATTGCAATTGCAGATGGCTGAAAGAATCTTTGTCTTACGGAAAGACAAAGAAAGATGGATTCGGCACGAACTGGGGACAGGAAACACTGAGGAAGGCATCCATAACAGAGACAGTGAGAGTGTCAAATGGAAAAAAAGGGCGAGATATGATGAAAAGATTGGCCGTGGCACCAAGTTCATCACAATATCTGAGACAAAGTGCTGTCTAAGCGTTGGTGGCAGCTGTCAGATAGATGCTGGCTCGCGTTCCTGCCATGCCAGCCCAGCAGCTCCTGTTCATCTTGTGACAACAGAGCTAACCTCTGTCAACAGAGCTCAGCTCGGGCATATTTCAAGACGGGATCAGACGCTGGACCAAACATGCCTCAGAGCTCTACGGTTCCTCAAAGGCAGGGCTGCAGAGCAGGACAGTACATCTTTATGTAATATTGCTCCAAGGCCGATAGATGCCAGAGCGCTGCACGCTTTCATCCCAGTGTACCTGAGTGGACGGGTACAAATCTGAAACACGATACACGTATCTGTAGTCAGTTTAAAGGAGCACGCCACTAACTTACTGTCAATTTAAGAGTCACAACAAGTCAGATGTGATCAAAAAGTTCCAGGACTGTGTGTGTGAATGGAGCACCATGTGCATGCAGCAACCCTCTGCCAGACCAGTGGTACACACATTTTTTTTCATCATTGGTAGGTGCAGTTTCTCCACTGACTGCAAACTACAATGGAAAAGAATTTCACTTCGAGGAATCTCACTGGTGGTGAGAGGTGGGTCTCTAGCTACCACAGAGAGAAAAAATGTAGTTTTCACCTTTTTTTTCCCCATAATAAATGTCTATATTCTTTTTAGCTCTTCATTATAACAGCCTGTTCCTGCTGACTGCAGTATGCCATTGGTCCATTTTATGCAGAACTAGAGTCAAATGATGCATTCAACGTCTGCTTTAGCAGGAGCCTGGTGAAGAAAGCCAGTTTAACAACCAGCATGGTGATATCCATTATCTTTAATTGGGTTTTTAGGTTTAGGATGTCTAGCTTGGAGTCTCTATGCAGCGTGGGTTCTCTCCGGGTTCTCCGGCTTCCTCCCACACAGTCCAAAAACATGTTGAGGTTAATTGGTGATTCTAAATTGTCCGTAGGTGTTAATGTGAGTGTGCTTGGTTGTCTGTCTCTAAGTGTGACCCTGTGACAGACTGGTGACCTGTCCAGGTGTCCCCTGCCTTCACCCTGAGTCAGCTGGGATAGACTCCAGCCCCCCATGACCCTAGTGAGGATTAAGCGGTGTATAGATAATGGATGGATGGATGTCTAGCTTTTTTAAACTTGCTTCAAACTGCCCCCTGAAGGAGCCTGTTTTCTGTTTTCTTCAATGTCCACATGGTTGTACACTACTACTCAGGCTAGAGTTCTACTGTAAAATCCTCATGTGTCTGAGGGACAACTTTTGGCACAAACCACCTAAACTGGGACGCGACAGCAGGCGGGCGCTCCAATGTTATGTCTGCTACAACACAAAGATTACACATGGGGTGTTTTTGGGCCACAACAACACAAATGTCGCTCTCCATCCACCCTACTAGCTGGATTTGGCTCCCTGTGACTTCTGCCTCCTCCCCAAATGAATTTAAAGTAGAAGAGTTGCCATTTTTACTCTGTTTTAGAGATTCAGCGCTCATCGCAGATGGTGTTGGACATATTGTATAAATATGTGTGAAACCACAGGTCACACTGTGCAAAGCAGGGTCATGTTTATGAGCGCACACACTCAGTCCTGGAATTTTTTGATCAATCCTTGTATTATGTCGCTCTGGAAGTAGCTGATCTTTGGTTGAAATAAAGAACAGAAGTTAATTAATGGATATGAATGAATCAGAATGACGAGCTGTTTAAATGTGAGACATTCAAATTGGTAAGATATTTAGTGAATACATGGGTGCTGATGGAAATCTTGTATTAGCGGAGATTTGTTTTCACATGATCGCTTGAACTGAGCTCAGCACAGCGTCCCGATTAATTGTAAACACTGTTGTGTTGTGAGTGCGTCTTATGACAGAATACAATTCAGTTCATCCATTCGTGTAATACATTTGGCTTTTGCCTAAAGCGATGCACAAATGAGGCACAATCTGAGCCACCGGCAGATGAAGGAGATGCCACGAAGTAAGAAGAAGTGCAGCAGTCCTCAGTTTCATATTGCACCTGACACAAGTGCCCAAGTTCCAGGTTTCAGGTGTATGCACAAAGGCACAAAGGCATAAAAAATGACAGATATATACCGAGGTGCAGACAAAAGTTAAGTGATCTCTGCTACTGCTGCTGTAGGGAAGTGAAATATGAAATAATCTTGATGTAACCTGCAGTGATGTGCTGATGGAGGAGCTTTGTTCTTTGTTCAGTACCAGCGTTTGACCCCGAGACCTTGCAGCCGACCTCCACTTATAGCACACAGAGAAGAATCCAATACCAGAGCTTGTAAAACACTCCATTAGTTAACTGAGTAATTATGTTCATCTCTCACCCACTGGTGTTGTACAGAACTAGAGTAATGATCATCCAAGTTGTGCTTTTAATTACAATCCTCCTGTATGTGTTTGCTGAAGTGAAGGTCCCTCTTGGTAGAATTTGTAGGAGGAAATTAATCTCACATTTTTCACCCAAGTTTATGATAGTTTATAAAAAAAAACTTTTAGGAATCAAAAGCAGAACGGATGCACAATCGGTGGTAAATATAACCCACCGTGTGGAGGATCATGGGTTTGTGTTCAGGAGCAGGACCAGCGGTTTGACTCCCTCACATGTTCTATAAGGCGCCACACATGGGCCCAATGAAGACAAACGGCTAGCTTAGCTTTGCCATGCACAGAGTGAGCATCAGCCATCAATTACCGAGGCCGTCCCCTGTGGTTTCAGTGGTCAGAGGACCTGAAGTGAGAGAACAGCATCAAACAGAGCGCCCATCTGAAAAAGGATTAGAGTTGTACGCGGGTTCCGATTATGCAATATTTATCTGTTCTTTTCTCAGGGAGCACGGCACATGAACTCGGGGAACTTTCAGAAGCAAAGGATTAATTTGCACGCATTGGAATTAGCGCTTAGATCAAAGCGAAAGTGTGTGTGTGTGTGTGTGTGGGGGGGGTGTCATGGGAGTATCCAAAACCTCTGCGCATCTAGAATAGAGATTTGCTGGTTACCACTTCTATTTTCATAATGATATGGAGAAAGAAAAAAGGGAGACATCAAGGGGGGAACTCAAGCCGGAGTTGAATATAATTAACCACATGTATATGGAACAAAAAACCTACCAGACCAAAGCAAAGATAGCATACGAGTTAGGAGAGAGTAAACAGAAAGAAGAACAAAGTTCGCTAAAACACACACAGAGATTTTCGTGCCGGAGACGGAAATGAGTCTAGCAGAACCGTCTTTCGTGTTGGTTCTTGGTGGTTACTCCTGGGAGGCGTGAGATACTACAGAGCACTGAGGTGGATTGGGACTTGTCTCGGTGTTTATTTGTGGATTTCCTCTGTATAAATTGAAACTACCCGGCTCCTTCCTCGCTCTTACTGTATTGTTGTTTACCCTGACGATACACGAGTTATGTAAGGATCTGGGCAGAGACAAGAGAGCTATTTGCTTTAACACTTGTAGGCAAACACACACACACACACACACACACACACACACACACAAACAGGCTGACTCCTCTTACCGTCACAGTCACCCAAGTGGGCCACGTTTCCCTGTTCAACATCTTGCTCGAATGGCAGTCTGTAGAGGAGAAGAGACACAGTCATTAATCAGACGACACAGAGGCGCAGCAACTCGGTCACTGACACACAGCACAGATCCACTCTGATAGAGGAAAACTATCTCAATGTTACAGCTAAGGACGAGTCACAATGGAGTGTAAATCTCCACCGGCTCCTTTAGATCGAAGAAAGCTTTGTTTTTATTTTGATAAAGGGAATTAAAAAAATAAAATAAAATAAAATCATTAAATCTGAAAAGAGCCGGAGAGGCCCTTGAGCTGCCTAATATCCCACAATAATCACCATTATAATTTTAAGATAAGCACTTGTGCCTGCAGCGACAATAATTAAGCTAATTAATGCAATGAATTCTAAATATTTCTAGGTCAGCGCGGGTCTTAACGTTAGATATCGTCGCTGTGGATATAAACTCCTTATCTTGAGGTATTACAGTGGTTTTAAGGAAATCTGGTTTACTCATTAACATGCACCTTAAGGAGCTTCTTAAAAATATATCATACGATTATTCTATCAGCGTTATGGAAACCCTATTATAGATTTAAGGGAGCAAAAAAAAAAAAAAACAATTTGTCATATCAGTTTAATATTCAACAAATCCTAAAGCTGTTCTTGGTTTTGTGTAATTCTTGAGAAATTATGACATATTGTATTTCTACAACTCATTTCCCATTCGGGCGACGGGGGAGCGCGGAAAAACTCAGCAGACAATAACATATGATGAAGTGAGGAAACGGAGAGGAAATGAGAACAGCTTACAGGCCAGGTGCTCACAAAGACAAACACAACTGCTTTTAGTTATGGTTCACGTCTGGGGGGAAACGGCACCGAGTTGCAGCGGACGGGCTGAGCGCGAGCGCACAGATCTATAAGCCTGCAGGCTGCGCTCAGTACAGAGAAACACTGCTAATGAAGTTCAGGTGGATGGAAAGACCTCGAGTTAAGTGATTTAAGTAAAATGTGTGAGAAAGTGTTCTTTCTGCTCCTTTTCCCAACAGCACAGCAGTGGACAATGCACAGGCCACATTCTGAAGCAGACTGGACGAAGACACGCTAGAATCGATGGCATTTGATTTATAAAACAGGGTGGCACAGTGGTTAGCACTGTTGCCTCGCAGCAAGAAGGTTGCCGGTTCATGTCCCAGTGGGGGCACCAGAATCTTTCTGTGTGGAGTTTGCATGTTCTCCCCGTGCAGCGTGGGTTCTCTCCGGGTTCTCTGGCTTCCTCCCACACAGTCCAAAAACATGTTGAGGTTAATTGGTGATTCTAAACTGTCCGTAGGTGTGAATGTGAGTGTGCTTGGTTGTCTGTCTCTAAGTGTAGCCCTGTGATAGACTGGTGACCTGTCCAGGGTGTCCCCTGCCTTCGCCCTGAGTCGGCTGGGATAGACTCCAGCCCCCTATGACCCTAGTGAGGATTAAGCGGTGTATAGATAATGGATGGATGGATGACACATTTTGAAATGCAGTTGGATTGTAATACATGCACAAGGTTTCCATTCTGATTTCAGTGTTGGTACTTTACACCCTAACATGCAGATTTACACCAAAACGCATGATAAGAAATAGTTAAACTTTATTATTGCTGCATGCATTTTCTTGTGCAGAATTAAAAGAGAAGATTGGTAACACTCTCATATCTAAATATGAAGCGACACTATTAACTCAGCCCAACATGGAGACTGGAAGCAGGGAGTTCGCCTGGCTCCGTCCAATTCTACCTCTGAAGCTCACTTTAGAGTTGCGTGCTGGCACGATTTCTTGGCCTGAGCTAAACTAACTGAGGGCAAGAGAACAAATAGCCTACAAGTTTCTTGTGGCACTTGCCAAGCTGTCGTTGTAAATAAGAAATAGTCTTTAATGACTTGTCTTGTAAACTAAAAAAAAAAGCATATTTCTCAAAATATCAAATTATTCCATGTTTTTAAAAATGCCTCTGACTTTAACGCATGAATTGATGTGATTTGTTCGGCATAAATTGTCAGAAGTGCCCAAACAGATTTGACTCAGAACCAAACTGTTAAAACTTAGACCCACAGCTCAGAAGCTCAAGTGACTTGATGCAAACCTTTAAGTAAGAATGCCGTGAAGATACTGACTGAAATGGAAGGAAGGTGTGTACACATGCATGGATGTTGTGTTACACTGTAATGGAGCTTTTTTATTTGTTCACAATTCTGCACTGAGGCAATGTTTGGCCTTCAAACCACATCTGAGGAACCGGGGGCAGGAGTAGGATGCTGTATTGACCTCAGCAAGTCGGTATCGTGCAATTAGCTAAAGGCTCCAGCAGCAGCGCAGCCAACATTCGTTCTTTTAATGCCTGAAAAACACTGTGACAAATGAGTCCGAGTGCGCCGCGAACGTACAGCGGTTGTCATCTTAATAAAGAATAATGCTTCGTGTTCAGTCGGCTGCTCACACACTGTGGGTCATTTACTTTGTATACATTAGCTTTCGCCTGTGGGTTTGTGTGTGTATTTCTTTTTCTTTTTTTACAGTTGGATTTTTATTTCTTGCACAGTCTCCCAGGTAGATTGGATCATTATTTAAAAGATGCCGTAATGAAACAGAACCTGATAAAGACCACATGTGTGTGCACGGTGAACGCTGTGGACAGAGCGTTCAGCTGGTACTCCAGGGAGTATCGCCGCAGTTGACAGGACTTATGTAGACGGATTATGGGGCAACTTAAAGTAATTTAATAAATATATTGATATATTGCCGGCTTTGACGCCTGAACACTTGACGCGGCAATTAAGAATGTATGAATAGCTAGCAAGAGAGCCGAGAAGATGAAAGTAAGCTAAAAGAAATACATGAAAGATTGAAATCTCCACCATCTGCAACCAAGTGCTACAAACGCAAATTTAAACCAGCCTAAATATAACGAAAAAAATCAAGTAACAAGCACTATGCATGCATTCAAATGGACACATTTCTGGCAAAAGAAGCTGAAATCAGCATCTAGAAACAGTGCATTGTCACATTATTCCAACTGGCACAAGCTGAAAAGACAATCAGACAGAAATTAGGACAACATATGCAAGCAGGTAAATCAAACTAACTTTCCTGGCAGCCAAAGTGCTGAAACATCGACTACAGCTGAACCTCCAAAACTTGTCTTCCTCAGAAACTGCCCAAATTTTTTAAAAAAAACAAAAAAAAAGTTACATAAGGCCAACTGCTGCGCTCTCTCCTCTGGCGTCACTTTGCAAAGAGAGGTTGCATTATTCCACAAAGAGGAAATCCACAGTAACTCGATGCGGGATCGATTGCCGAGTTGACCGCCCTTGGTAAATCTAATCAGGAGCAACATAGAGGCCTTTAATAATATAAGCAGGCAGCCTGAGGTGGTCTTTAAGGCCCATGTTGTCTGTTCAGCTGGCACTACACCTGTGTTTGAAGGCCTAATTCAATAAGCGGCTTGACTAAAGAGAAATTTGATTTCACTGGAGGGAAACCAGCCACAACTGGAGGTGAGCTGTCAAGGCGGACCGCTGCGTTTCAGACAACACAACGTCTGGGTGGATGCGCGACACAGACGGCGTTACACAAGAGAGAAACAAACACAGAAAGCCACTCAGTCACACCACCAGCACGGCGCTTTATGACCGCCACTCGATAACACGTGAAGTGAAGGAGCATTGTTTAGGATCAGACATCTTGAATCGATAAGTACCCACAGAGGAGACTGTGTGACAGGCTGCTTAGAGGGCACAGATGTTGCTTAAATAGTAGGCAGCCAGAACCAAGACTTCCAGAGCAGATAAATAATATATGGGGCGTCTCTATGGGTGGTCTCCGAGGTCTGCTGCCAGAAAAATAACCTTGAGAGGGGTGAAAAACTGGGAAATAAATCAAATCAAAACAAAAAATGGTGGATCAAAAAAAAAAGTGGGAGCAGAGAAACGGATGTAAAGGCTGTAAGTGAAGCAGTGTGTTGATGCAAATGGAAAGGTGTCATACCTGGTCCCGGGTCTGAGGAAAGAGCAGGTGCTTCCTCTGGTCCAGCCACAGTACGGATCCCTGGAGGCGATGCAGTTCCTGCAAAGAGAGAAGAAAGAAAAAAAAACCTCATTTGAGTGATTGAACGTCTGAGGTTCTCAGTTCGACTTAATGAAGCCTCAGAGTCAGATTCTGCTCTGCTTGAGCGTGACAACCACAAATTTCACACATGAAATAAGGGCAACAGTTGACTTATTTCCATTACCAATTACTTTAATAATCACTTTTTCTTATTGGTTTGATTATTGGTTTAGCTTATACGACGTTATCCCAACTAGAACTTATTAAGCTGATACTTTTTATCTGATCAACTACAAATACTGATACAAAGTTTTGGTGTGACACCTTTTTTTTTAAAATTCCACCTCGAAGGAAGCTACAAATTTTCACTTTTCCACCTTGTAAAACCTGCTCGATAATGTTATTCATCACAGTGAATATTTTGTCATCGCTGTCACAATGGCAGTACTGGGCAAGGTGCTAATGCACGTGAGAGAAGCAACGCATATCAAAGAAGTTGTACTTGCGACTGAAATAAAGTAAGAATTATCCTGATAGTTCATTCTTGACTTTCCGATAGTAGTTATACAGACAAAACAGACTTAAGTAGATTTTTCCAGGATTTCCAAACACATTTCTTTCCAAACTTTCAGAGCTTAGAGCTGAAACCTGTGGAAAACCTCATAAGTGGATCTTGAGTTAAGACTTTCCTGAGACTAGTTTTAGGAAATTCCTCCGTTCTGAGATTGAAGTCGTCCAACAGCAACCTTCACCATTTTTTTTTTCCCCTCCCAAAAAACGGTTTCTAAATGTCAGTATTGCCTGGGGCGTGTCTTCTGAGTTTGATTCTCAGAGAATATGCATCACATATTAGACACTTTAACACCATCTTTTACTCCATATTTTTACTCAACCTCCTCATGTCCTTGGCTGCAGCCAACAATCTTCCTGCTCGCAGCGACTCTGCCACACAATGATAATGGAATGCGGACAAAACCACAAAGCCACTGAAATGTGCGCTGTGAAAGACTGCCAATATCTTGCAAGTCTTTGTAAGTTAATTTTCATACAAGACTTGTGTCAAGAATAAAAAAAAAAAAATCACACTTGGAAAGAAGGGACTCATTCTAAAAACTTGTGCCAGCAGCAAAGTGAAACGTGCTGCTCGGGATGAGTCAGTACTGACCAATTAAACAATATGTGGAACCTTTTGACAGTATGCTTTACTAATTATAGTTTATACATCCAAAGGACAAAAGCTTTAGTGGTGAGGCATTTCATAATGATCCTAACGTGTCCATATAGTGGTTTTGTGCATGGGTTTTGTTTCCATGGCAACAGTATCTTGACAACACATCATCACTCAAACTGCATGGACTAGCATCTCTCCTCGCTGTGATATTTTCTGCCTGACAGATCATATAGCTTGCGATACGCAGGCATGGGCAGAGCAAGTTTCTTATCCAGTAGAGACAACAGGGCCTTTCTACAAAAAAAAGTAAGATTTTCAACTATGAGCGCTCAGAGCAGCTGCACAAAGAAGGCGCCGCACCTTAAAAAAAAAGCCGCATACATTCTCTCTTCATGTAGAACAATTGGAAAAAGATGCATTTGCTTGAAAAACTCGGCCTTAAATGTCTAAAACGGTTCTTTAATGATTTACCTTAGGCTTGCTGGGTGACTAGTTTGTAATGACGTGAGGTTAAACAAGGTCAAAAGGTCACATCTGTCCACTCTGTAAAGCAGGCTGTTCCTATAAAATGGTAAATTAACAGGAATTTGTTTTAAAATAACTTTTACCTACAGCAGAAAAGCACCAGCGCTACATCAAAAATGTGTGTTGGTTTTGTTTCTATGACAACGATCCCTTGGCAACATATCATCTGTCTAACTACAAGCATCACTCCTTGTTGTAAACACTTCTGCCCGACACATCAAACAACCTGCGATGGACAGTAATAACCCCAACAAGCTGCAGTAAAGACTGCAAGATTTTCCCACTATGAGCGCTTGGAGCGGCGCACAGTAAAGGAAGCGCACTCTGAAAAATAGGCCGTATGAAGCTGCATCCTCCCTCCAGATAGAACAATTCAAAAAAGATGCTGGTGATCAGAAAAACTCAGCTTTACACAGTTCAAACGGTTCTTAACTGATACGTGTGGTTGCTAACGGTACAGTTTGTAAAGATGAGGGATTAAACGAGGTTAAAAGGTCATATCTGTACATACTGTAAAGCAAGGCTGTACTATAAAACGTTGAAAAATAACCTTTGAAATGTTTAAACAGGATTAAAGCCGGATGGAAGGAAATCTGTACATCAACTACGAGCGTATTTCAAAAACATCCTCCTTCCTTTCCACCCTTAGGCTGTTTGTCCATATAGCGTTTTCCTGGTGCTCCAGGGAGTACGCTGTTGCTTCATCAAAAATGTCTGTGGGTTATACAGTAGCATCCCTCTGATATTTTCTGCCTGACACATCATACAGCTTACGATAGAGAGGCACGGACAGAACAAGCTTGTTACCGCAGCCCCTTTCTGAAAAGTTCTATGATTTTTAACTAGGAGTGGCTGCATAAAAAAAGGCAGCGCGATCTAAAAAAAAAGGCTCCATTTTCATCAGAAACTACTGGAATGGTTCTTAAATGATAAGCTGCGAGCCTGCTAGATGGCTAATTGTACAGTTTGTAATGATGAGGTCAAAAGGTCACATCTGTACACACTGTGAAGCAAATACAATCAATAAGAATGTATTGAGAAACAACAGAAAAACCAAACGGGATTAAAGCCGAGTGGAAAGAAATCTGTGCATCAGCCGTAACCACGCAGAACAAAAAAAATGCAAAGCGCTCGCAAAACACTAAAGGTTAAAGAAGCAGACCTGGAGCCGCTCAAGCGTGACTAAGAAAATCTCGAGCCCACTCGCACACAGTAAATTAACTCTCGTACCGACATGGAAACACACACTAAAGCGCACCTCGGAAAACATGTGAGCGTCTCCTTTAATGTGCTCCGGATTACACGCCTGTATGACTCACCTGGTTCAGCGAACACGCCGCACGGCTCGCTGGCGTGTGCCGGTTTTTGTTAGTGTGTCGGCGGACCCCGGACGTGGCCACACAGCCACGGGCGGCGAGGCTCGGCAAAGCGCGCCAGCCGGGAAACGGAGAGCCTCGGCGTCGCGTGGGCGTGAGGCAGGTGGAATATCATCGCTTCAAATACGTGCATCTTTATGTTTAATTACGGGGGGTTAAACGAACTTGCACCTTTTCGTAAATGCCCCCCGCTGCGCATCCATTTAACACCCGAAAAGCTGCCAAAATAGCTGAGCAACTTTTTCACAGGGCCTTCTAAGCGAGAACACGTCAACTTGAAATGGAATAATATCATAATAGCACATTCGTCGGTAATTATACCTCATTAAAACCCAGTGCAAATCAAGGTGTAATGGAATTATTGAACTAGCGCAGGATTCTTTTACAATCTGTGCTGCAACAACCTTTATTTATTTAGAATGTAATACGACACATTTTCAGGAAATAATATCACTTTCTCCTAAAATGAGTTTAAAGTAAATAATACAGCATTACTTTTAATGGCATGAAGCTTTAAAGGGTTTATAGCTGTAACAGGTTCCTATCAATTGACTGGCCTCTTTTATTGAAGTTTAAACATCTCAGTGTGATGCAGCAGTTGACAGATTATCATTGTGCCGAAAATGCAGAGTGACAGATGTTATTAAGATGTTGTGTTGTGCTATTATTTGCAGGAAAAGTCAGGGCGACTACAGATGGCAGAGCCATCACCGCATCTCGCTCAAGGACGCTTGTGACACTCGAGAACCTGCCCCGCTGCCCCTTTCATGTTCACGTACGTGCGGCACTTTGGTTCCGACTTACTTCATGCATCGGGAGTAGAGCTGGCACCGCGCCACCGGTACTCGGACCACACAGGAGGGGAAGGCGAGCAGCAGAGTGTGGCTCACCCGGTCCAGAGTCAGAGACAGCAGCTGCCTGGCCTGCGGAGAGTCTTCAGCGCACCTGCATCACAAACAGGCAGGCGCACATAAAACAACAAACGCATTAGGCAATTTCAATTACCGGAGCGAGGCTGCACATTAAACCCCTGACCTCACTCTGAGCATTACGCTGGGGAAAAAAAAAAAAGGCGCTCCTCGTGACTCCATGTGAAACACAACCAAACATAAACAGCTTTATAAATAAGAGCCGTAATAAAGCAGCGAGAGGCCGTCCGTGTTGCCGTATGTTACGGTGTCAACCCAAATATGCATTGTGCTGATTGTCGAAGTTTGAGGGGTCGGGCGGCCATCAAACACAGCAGCCAGGAGCTGAATCGGTTCTAATTGGCACTTAGAGCCGCGATGGCTGGCACCGACCGGCCTCCATGCAGCAGATTTATACCTTTTTATGCACATGTGCACTCATGCATCAGTTGTATCTGGATGGTTTATGGTAATAACATTGCGGTGGGCCCACAGTCATTAAGAAGAATCTATCATTCTGCTGAGGCCAAGCTGTGACTCATTCTTCACAGCCAATATCACGAAAGGCAGGAGGAAGGAGAGAAAGTGAAGAAATAAACAACTAACAAATGTAGGGCAGGAGAGAAAAAAACAAAAAGAGCAAAGAGAGAAAAGAAACTTAAAGACACAGAACCAGGCAGGGGAGGGAGAACATGTCTCTGTGTCAGTGTTACATCTCTTTCAGGTCATTTCCTGGTTCACGGTGGCAACCGGCCTATCACAGATCGGTGATTTTGATCCGTGCCGACTTCTCAAAAAGATAACTGTGTAACCTGGGGTTTATTACGACGCACCAGGTCCTTCTTTGTCCGTGGATGTAAGGTGAGGTTGAGGGTGGCCTGGCCCGCAGCTACAAATGATGTGACTGCGCTCTGTCTCCTGATTAGCCGGCCGCCCGCTGTGATAGCCGGGCAGCCGCTGACCTCCTGGTGGGCCTCACCATGCATACCAAATTAACCGTCACACACGCTGGCTGCGGTCCACAGCAGCTTAATTCATCACACAAGTCCCTCTGCCATCACTATCCGTCATTTTGTCTTATCCGGGGCAGAAATTGGTTGGAGGAGAAGACAGAAGGATTGAAACGGCACGATGTCTACAATAGGGACAGAGTGTGTTTCCAGCCAGTTGGTTCAAGAAATAATACTTTGTTTCTACTTGTTGCAGGGGAAAAAAATAAAAAATTGGCTTACATATCAGTGAATGCAATTACCACAACAGAGAGCTAGTGTTTCGAAACATGTACTTTCTTTTTTAAAATGCCTCTAATTAGCCATGGTGAAGGATAATCACCAGCCAAATCTGCCTGCATCTGTGTGACAATTTCCTTTGCCTCCACCCTGCAGTCATTTCGCCATGTGGAAGAGTGAATCGCAACAAAAGACAAAAAAAAACTGAGAACTGAAAAGGCATTGTACCCAGTTTTCATTACATAATGACGGGCGCCGGCGAAGCCTCAAAGCCTCGCGCGTCGTGTAAAAAATGCTAATTAGTCCATTCCAATCTTTTGTCTCGATCCAGATTCAGAAATGCGATTTAGCTTCAGACTGAAGATAAGAGGTCAATTTTCCTGACAGAGTGTAACTTTGGTCAAGATTAATGATAATGTGGCTTTGTCTTTTTCTTTTTTTTTTTTTGTCATTACTTTCTGATGTTTCCTCCCCCTAATGCTGTTTTACAGTATGTCTCAGGCTCATTAGAAGATGTTAAGATTTCTCGATAATGAATATTAGCAGACATTCCTTTCTTTCTGTTCTCTACATGGGAGTTGCGTCGTCTCGGATCCAGCACACAATTATGTGCATCACGCAGAATAGGTGAGGTTTTCTGCATAATTCAGGGCACGTCATGTTTCCAGGACATATCATACTCTTCTTTTTTTTTTTCCCCCTCCTATTTCTTTTCTAGGCGCATCACACCACCAGCTCCCCTCACTGTGTATACATCAAACCCAGATGTCACTTAACCCCTTCCTGGTTCTGGATGTTACCGCTGTTTGTCTTCTGTGAGCTACTGTGCTAAAAAAAAAAATAGCGAAAGAAATGTAAATATGAACCTATAGCCTGCAGCTAGTTAGGATAGCTGGTGTCACAAAGGGAAACAGGTAGTCTGACTGGAAAAAAAGGGGAAAAAAAGCATCTCTAGAGCTTGCTAATTAACATGTCACACGCTAACGTCAAGTCGAAGGAATATTCAGGCGCATAACCACCCATAAAACCGCATTGTGTCCTTTTTGCACTTTGGTTTTTGCACAAATGAGATATTGTGTGTGTTAATTAATGGACTTTAGAGGTGTTGAAAGGGTTTTTTTTTTCCAACCTTTTTTTTTTTTCCACATCTAACCGTCTCCTGGCTGAAATCTGAGCCGACACACCACAATATTATCACTTAAATCTCTTCTTTTCTGTTCGCTCAGCAGCCCATGCGTCGGAATATTGTCTTACTTATCAGGGTTGAATCCCTCCAGCTCCTCCAGGAAGATGTTGCTGTTGGTGACGGTATTGTCCTGGTTGGGCATAATGAGAAACTTGAGGATGGTGCCTCTGCTCGACCCCAGGAAGAGGACTGTGCGGTTTCTATAGGGCCCGGCCTCCGTATCCACCACAATCTTATTCAGCTGGTACCTGAACCGGAGCAGAGACAAAGAACTGCATTAATTCCACGGAGCCGTGCAGCCCATTTGGGAAACTTTCTCTTTTTTCCCATGAAAGCTAAAAGCACAAGCGAAGTGGCTCCTGGAGGCCAGTTTATGATTTAAGTGCATTAAAACTGATTGGTTTGGGTGCAAAATACGGACTCTTGTGAATTTAAATCATAATGTGCCATTTTCTCTTGAGTCGCTGCGAAATGAAATGAATTCCACCGAGAAGAAGCCGCTCGTCAAATTTGCATAATAAACTAATTACGCCAGACGTTTCAGTCATTAATAATATCAGTCAAGTAAATGGGCTTGTCCTGGAACAATAGCAGAGTGCTGCTGTGCCGCACGCCGGCCTGTGAGTCAATAGACGAGAATAGAAGCCATGTTGTGTCGGGTGTTTAATATTCCTCATACATCCAGTCCCTATAATCCCCCAGCGGCCGGTCGACAGGGGGACTCCATACGGTAGATAGCGCAGAGAGAGAGAGAGACAGGGACGCATGTATTTATGTTAGATTTGATGTGCCGCAGCTGCTCGCCTGCGAACAAGAGCTTCAACGCCAAACCTGGATAACTTCAAGCCTCAAAAGACACGTCGTCCCTACTGCGCATGTCAACATCCTGCAGGAACTCCTCCGCTAAACTTTTTATCGCTGACTTAATGCACAACATTTTTACACCACTGATTTGAAACGATGAGTTCAATTAATGTACTCGTACTGGAGATTCCAAAACAAGCAAACAACAAAACGGTGCCTGAGCATAACCATTAAAAAAAAAAAAAGCCTTTATTCTACTCTACTTGCCGCTTGTGAATATTATATTGTGGGAAAAACAAATGAATGATGCTGTTATGCAAATACGTTCTATAGATTCATTTTGCAGTCTGTCAGATATGTTAATTTAAAAAGTGCTTCCTCGTTAAGTTGATGAGAAATATAATTGCTGCACTGAGATTCTTTCACAAACTATTTGCTTCAAATTAGCAAAACGTATACACGGTTGCCCATAAAGCTGGAATAAAATTGTTTTTTTAGCCTCTTCTCATGAAATGATTGTGACAATGCGATTTATTCTTGATAGATAACGTCTATATCTTCTCAAAACTTTATTGACATCGCAATATACATACACAGTAAAAAATTAAACCACAATTAGCTTTTGCAAACTGTGTATTCAGGCTTTTAAAGAATTGGGCATACTGAAGAATAGGATTAAGGGTTTGTGGCATATTGTCCACAAGCTTGTTGATAGTATCAATGGGCAGGACGTCCCACTCTTTGGTCGGATCCCAAAGTCAGAATTTGTTTAACCTGAGTAACTGCAACTCAGTATGTAATCATTGCACCTGGTCAAAAGTGAAGTGTATACATTGAAATAAAAAGAGGAATGTGTCTGGAAACAAAAGTTATTCCAACTTCATGGGCAACAGTGTGTATTCAGGATTACGTTCAGCCTCACCTGACCATGGTTCTGACAATCCACGGTCTTTGTCCCAGCGACGGGACCGCTTCGTCCATCAGAGGATGAGTCTTGACAAAGTTCAGCATCTCATCGGGGAAAGAGTTGGAGGAATTAAATCTGGATCCTTGAACGGCGCAGCCACCGGGTCTGAGGGGACAACAAAGATTCGGCGCGTTAAGCAGAAAGGACAGAATATTTTTGAATACTTCAGGAGTCTGTGAAGACATAATTACATAATTCAGGAGTCTAGACTGTCTGAATGTCTGTATTATATTTTAAACAGGAGACTGATTTGATTTACTGAAAAGAATCGTACTTTTGGAGTATTTGGCAAAGTGGCGGATAGCTGCATGAGTCCGAGGCATAACTTTAGATTGGAGGAGAACAAGATGTGTCCTTGTGAAAATGGATTTTCCAACTCAATGTGATTTTGGACAAATTTCTACAAGATGAAGTCCTATCTGCAGCATCTCCCTGCGTTCTCCATGACGTGTGTGTGTGCGTATGATCTCATTTCACGTCGTTAATGAAACAACACAAGTATTATTGTTTGCATTCTCTCGCTATGAAATCCTATGAAATCCTACAAATGAACTGCGAATCCAACTTTGTAGATCAGCACTTTGGCGAAACTTCAATAAAGTTCAAAACGCTGCTTTCTTCTCATAGTTCTTTGATAACAACCCGAACGCAGGTGCATAAATTGATTACTGCCATCTGCACCTTGGCTTTGGGATGACTTCATCTGGAACAGGCGTCCAAATGGATTCCGGTGATTTCTGCTCCTTAAACCTCCCATCAAACACTGCAGCCAGCTGCTCCATGTCAAAGGCACAAACCGCCGAACCCGGGATGCTGCGAGGAGGGAAGGTGGAGAGACAGAGGTGGATTGAGACACTTGGAGCTGATACAAAATGACTGCCGGTAGGCTTTACTTTCCAACAAGGGTGGCGGAATAAGTGACAGGAAAAAGAGGAAATAAGGTGGATTATAGCTTAGACTGAGAAATAGACTGTGAAACTGGAAATAGGAAAGAAGTTAAAATATAGAAAGTCAATTGTGAGCGTGAGAAAGGGACAGACACCCAGCGAATATGACAAATTGGATATGGGCTGCTCATATTTTGACATTCAATGCTGGAGCACAAAGGAAATTGTTACTGAGATGGAAAGAAAAACGGGGGGTAAGACAGACGCTGTCAACTCCGCGGCCAAAGAATAGATATGAGGCGGATGCAATAGCTAGATTAGGCTCATGAAAAGATCTTGGCTGGAATTCCTGGAATATAAAACGAAATAGGAAATGAGTCACTGAATATTCTGTTTTTTTTTCCCTCCTCCCCTCCAAAAAAGAAGAGGGGACGGTTCTCGTAAAGGAAACAAACCCAACAAGATGTTCCTGTAAAAAAGCCCGGTGCACCTCAGAGCCTGTTTAACTACTCATGAACTCAACACAAGGGAGCTGAGCAGCTGCTCTGACAACACACACACACACAGATAAACACAATACAGACACACAAAGTCAGACTATCTTTTCTGAGGCTGATGGTACATTTTTGTGTCTTGGCTACAGAAAGGAAGCATCGACAGAGAAATAAAGAGAGCAGTGTCAGGATGAGATAAGAAATGAGTTTTTTTTTAAAAACATCCCATGCTTCCTGCTCCCAGACTCCCCTCTCTGCTCCGAATGTGTCCTCATCAATGACTAATGTTGTGCGTGGTGTGAGAGCTAGTGACTAAGTATTAATACCTTTGAGATACACAAACCCGTGAGACTGAGTCACCTGCAACCTGCTGCTACGAGCCGCCCACACCAACCCCGTCTTGTTTATTTCCTTCTTGTTCTTCCTTAAAAAGTAAATGCCCAGCTGGTGATTTGAGGGTTTGCGCCGCCTGTGCACCCACGATTGGAGCTGAGAGGTGTTTCTGTCGAGTGCCCCTTTGAAAGCCACAAAAGTGTTTGTTTGGAGAGGCAGCGCCTGCAGGCTGGATTTGGGTTGCAGCGGGGAGCCGTGCTCTCCTGATGTGCCATTTGATCAGGTCACGCCGTCTCCCTCAGTACTTATCATTCATAGGCAGGGATGTGAGTCAACCCCGGCCAGCATGGCGAGGCTGCAGGCGTATCTGTGGACGATACGGCGTCTCTCTCAGGACTGCAGGCACCAGATGTTATGTGTGACACGTCTGCCAGCTCTGCACCGCTGCCAGGTTGGCTTCCTTTCTCTACCTCCCCTTTTCTCTCTCGCTGCAGGTCACCGAGTTTGCCCCGTGTACGGCTCTGTGTCTAACAGAAGAAAGCCAAAAAAGGCCTCGGGCTGTTTTTCCCCTCTCAGAATTCTCTTAATTATTCTCATTTTCACTCTGGCTGGTTTTGCTCTCCTGCTCGGGTTTCACAGTCCACACAAATTTCATTTCCAATAATGTTTTAAGTCAACCTTCACACTTGAGACCGCATTCGTTTGTTTTGGGTTTTTTTTTCTTTCCCGTCCTTCTCTTTTCTGTCTGCCCGACAGAATCCGTCCCTCCATCGCTCTTTCTCTTTGACTGCGATTGAGTAACAGGCTGTCCGACACATGTGGTGTTTGTTTGAGGAGGCTGCCGTGGAGTCTAAAGTGCTTCCTCACTGTTAGCGAGCTCGCTGACAGCTTGAAATAACGCCGTCCTCGCAGACACATGATGCCTCGCAGGAGAAGACGAGGAAGACGAGAAGACGGTGAGAGTCGAGGGAGGCTTCAGTGTCAGTCCTTTAATTAGGGGTTTAATACACTTGAAGTTGTTTTGCATATTCATGAGAAATATAAAAAAATAAAGAGCTCCCACATCAGGGCTAAATAATTTCTGCTCTGTTTGTTTAACTCTCCAAGTGGACGATTCCAGTAGATCGTTGTGTATTTTTTACAGGTTTTCTTTGCTGGCTGAATCTGGAATTTTCCACCCGACTTTGCATTTTGCGAGAAAGATATTGGATATGTTTGTTTCAGGAAAAATCATACAAACAATTCGGCCACCATGATGGAATAAACTCTGCAGCGGCCGTGGCATGCAACTAAACTAATGACCCTTAGTTCAATTACGACAAGATTTATTTTGTTTGCCGAGCAGAACAAAGCTCCGAGCGGCATTTTCAAGGCAAAGTTTGACATTTCGGGGAAATGCGATTATGTATAAGATCTCATATCAGCGCGGTAAATATGCAGCTGGAATCAGGGCACCGTTTGCTTAACTTGGCATGAAGGATGGAGGGAAACAGCTCGCATGGCTTCATCTAGACGTAAAATAAATCCACCATCCAGCGCCTCTATAGCTCACTAACTAACAAAACACATTCATGCTGAAACTCTAAAGGGACGCATAGGTTTATGATCAAATGTCGGAGTTTCTTCCAAATGAAATGCAGAGAAAAATTCATTAAAAAACAGTCAATCATGTGTCAGAATCATAGACTGTATAAAAGATGGACGTAGAAATGAAGAATGAAGCCAACCCGGAAGTGTCAAAAACCTGCAGTATCACTACGTCCGCTAGCTGCTGGCTCCAAAAAGTCCTGGCTCCCATAGACTTGAATTGGAAAAGAAGTGATCACAGATCATGAAATACTGCATTCCTACAGCTCAGGATTTATTTTTTTATTAGTTTTCTTGTCAAATTCAGAGATCAGGTGGCCAATCTGAAAATAAATCAATACTGAATTTTTAAAAAATCGTCAACATTTTGCGGGGCAAGGGGCGTGGCTGGTTTGATTGACAGTTGGCAGCGACGATGCAGACGAAGCGAGCAGAAGGTGGTAAATGTGGGCGGGCAGAGAGGGCCCGCCTCTCAATCCGTCTGACCAATCGCTGCTCCTATGGCTCCGCCCCCCTCCGACGATTTTTGCGTCACTGTCAAAAATCCAAGATGTCAACCAGGAAGTAGCAAAACCCTGGCTTCATTTTCTCAGTGCAGAAACCATTGGGTGACGTCACGGTAGCTACGTCCATCTTTTGTGCAGTCTGTGGTCAAAAACAACTTTATTTCTAAGCAGTCATGTGGTAGAACAATGGATGGTTCATTTCTAAGCCACCTGACGTTTTAAAAGTTCCAAAATTCCAACATTTCCTAACATTTGTTGAGCTGTTTATCAAGTTTTAAATTTTTATTTAAAGTTATGGGATGGAAACTACATAAAACTTCCACCTTTTCAACTTTTTACTTCCATTTATTCACTACAAACATCTTCACTCATCTCCTTCCTTCTACACAACTTCTCAAACTTTCTCTTGACCTTTCAACAGGCTGAGTTGTGTCTCCTCTCTCGACCTTGACTGGCCCAGGTAGACTAGCTAACACCTTATTGTTCTTGTGACATGGCTCTACTGTCAACTTACAAACCCCGTTCCTGTCGCATACCCATTTCTCACCAGCTAGCTACCTTGTTCTGTTTTTCTCTGCCTCCTCTACTTGCAGGCCCAGGGGGGTTCCAGCTTGCACATCTGTGCATCCTCCCCCGGTGCCACGCTTCCCCCTGGCATCATAAAACCTGTTCTCCGTCTGCTCCTTGTCCTCCTCGTTTCCCCTCGGCTGCGTCTCTCCCAGAAGGACGTCCCGCTGTCCGACCCTGCCACAGTGGATTCTTTACAACCAAAACAAACATGGCCTCCCACTCTCACGATGCACTTGATTTACTTTGCTTTGCACGGCTTATTACCCCTCGCATTCCTACGTCACTCCATTAAACCTAATGAGCTCGTGTCAGCTCGTCCCAGAAGACATTTCAGCTGCCAAAACAAAAAAACGTAAAAAAATAATGAGAACTGTTTGTTTCCGACACCGGTGTGACGGCGAGGCTTCCATTTGACATTTCAGCTGCTTCTTTCAACACATACCCACTTATCTGAGTTGCTAAACAAACTAGAAAAACTACTTCTTCACCCCAAAGGTCTCATATTCAGATTCTTTCTCGTTTGAGTTTGCTGTTGTCTCCTTGACCTCTCGAGCATCAGGAGCGCCGGTGCAGGAGGTGCCCGGTAGGAAATCCGAGCGCTTCTTTCATCCCATCTTTGAGAGGAATGACCCTGGGATTCAGAGGTCCATGCACAAAGGAAATGATAACCGGGGGCGATGTTATGCTCTGCAAATACAGACTAAAGGATCCCACAAATGCAACTCTATAGCAGTTGGGAAGCCGGTATGTGGCTGTAAAATTATCCCTGGAGTATGTGGGCAGGAGATGAGTAACTTCACAGTGGCCAGAGGAGGGGGGGAGGGAGACAGTAAAACCTTGACTCCATCCCCTCATTCCCATACTATAGTCCAATATATGCTGCACGGGGCCAAATGGCAGGAGAGAATAGCTATTCCTCCACTCGCAGGTCCTGCTTCATGCTGTGCTCGCTGCACGCCGCTCGCCAAAGCAATTTGTCTGGCAAGCACTTAGCCAGCGTGGCGCAGTGGGCCACACGGGGGCCGCTGGGACTTCTGCAGCTCACCTCCGCACATTCTCTCAAGCTCTTTGTGTTCATTTTCCTCCATCACACATCTCCTTATCTGGCCATCTAAACCTCCCTTTCTCTCTGTCTCGCTGGCAGTTATTTAAAATAAGACGGAGTAGCAGGTTACCCAGTGTGTGTGTGTGTGTGTGTTCAGCTGGTTCTCCTCTGTTGGTGAGCTGTAAATGCTGCTATCTGGAAACCATTGTAAAGGTTTGTGTTTGTGTGTGTGTGATGCCTCCATCTGTCTCTACAGGCAGCGCCCCCCCCTCGCAACTCAAACACGCAGATAAGATGCAGCTGATGAAACAATTTTAGATCTCAGAGAGCAGGGGGATGCACGTGTTGTCCATTATTGACTTCCTCGTCCTTGAGTTGTTCATCCATCTCTTCCCCGTTTGTTCTCCATCTTGGTCTTTTCTCCTTTTCTACTTACTTTTCCCCTTTTTTTGTGTGTTACCGGGAGCCGACTGGCAAGAGATTCTGTCCTGCAACTATTTTACTACTCTAAAAATCAAATACTGGGACCACTGACTGACTGACGAGAATTAGGCTGCGGGTTGCATTTAAGTGAGAGACTGTATTGACGCCGCACCAGAACTCAAGCAGCAGCAGGCTGTTGCGAGCATTTGTAAGTGTTCGCTATAATGTGCTTGCACTGCCAGACGCGGTAAGTGGTATCCAGGCCATTCAGGTTGTGGAACATGAGTGGGCTATCACAGGAAAAACTATATTGAATTCTTGTCTGTGATTTAAACCACTTAGAATGCAATATACTGTTGCAATACCTTATTTTAAGGCATATACCGAGTATGTTTATCCCCGTGCCACTTTAGAGGATGCGGCCAGAAAGGGAAAACCTTAACAACCAATTTAGTCTCCTACTTAGTTTAAAGATGACAGCTTAGTGTGGCAAGAAAAACTGCAGCTCAAGTGTGTTGTGCATATTACTTCAAACAAAGCCTGATAAGCAGGTTATTCTAACTGGATAAGGGAAAAAGAGACGGGAATCAGAAAAACTCTGATAGCAAGAAAACTCCTGAAAACAAGTTTTACAGCTAAACTGAATAAGTGGTGTATATTTGTAGTTTTAATGTACAATATGTCAACATATTGTGCAACAGTTCATTTTTCCGTGTGCAAAATTTCGATGTCATGTTTAATATTTCAATTTCATTTGCAAAATTTAATTTTTATGTGCAATATTTCTTCATGTCTATAGAGGTATTACCAGCATTGCTTCTTAGATTTCTATACTAGTCCTTTTGTAGCTTACTCAGTTTTATTTTCAGTAATGTATTTATATCTTATTGCTTCTCTGTTGGGCACTGCATTTATTCTAAATTTATTTTCTGAGCAATATCTGACAACAACTTTATTTAGAACTAACAAAGTACTTTCTTAGGTTAAGCTATGATATGCTATGCTAGGCTATGTTATGCTATGTTAGGGTATGCTATACTATACTACACTATGCTGTCATGTTGTGCTATGCTAGGCTGTGCTAGGCTATGCTATGTCATGTTTTTTTTTGTTGTGCTATGCTGCACTATACCATTCTATACCATGCGGTCATGTTATGCTATGCTAGGCTATGCTATGTTATGTTATACGATACTTTACTATACTATGCTGTTATGTCAAGTTATGTTATACTATACTATGCTATACTTTACTATGCTGTCATGTTATGATATGCTATGCTATGCTAGGCTATGTTATGTTATGTTATACTATGCTATGCTGTATTTTACTATACTATGCTGTTATGTTATGCTATGTTTTGTTCTGTTATGCTATGCTAGGCTATGTTATGTCAAGTTATGTTATACTATACTATACTATACTATGCTATACTTTACTATGCTGTCATGTTATGATATGCTATGCTATGCTAGGCTATGTTATGTTATGTTATACTATACTATACTTTATGATACTATGATGCTATGCTATGTTATGTTATACTATGCTATGCTGTGTTATGCTATGCTGTGTTATGCTATGCTATGCTATGGAATGTTATGGAATGTTATGTGATGCTCTGCTGTTATGTCCTGGTCTGTTCAGTTATTCTGTGGTACATTAGCTTTTCTTATCTTGTCTTACTACCTCTAATGTAGACACAATAAAATATTTATCACATCTAAATATTGAAAGTATAAGTGTACAGAAATATTTTTCTCACATCCCCTTCTTGTCTCTGTCGTTCAGTTTCTCTGGTTTACTGCTTGTGTTGTCTTTGGCTCTGCAAATACCCTCAGTCTCCAATAATCCCCAATTTACCAGGCTACATCTCTCCTCTCCTCTCCCCTCCTCTCACCTTCTTTCAATTTAATCTTGTCTTTCAAAAAAACAAAAAAAAAAAACACCCCTTTGTCCTCAATGAAAGCGTTCCATGTGTCTTAAATTACTCTGTACCTCACAATCCTGACCTCTGCACCTCCACGCTGCCACTTTCATTTTTTTTTCTTCTTTTCTCTCGAGCGCCGCTTGGCTTGTAGGAAGCCTTGCTCTTTCTGACTAGATAGGTGAAGGAACAAACTACGGCGGTCCGCTAAACCTTCAAGGTGAGCCGTGTGAGCGTGGCTGCACACTGGGCGTCTATCTCAGTCTCCACGGGGATGGATGTCAAGATGAGGTGGTAAGTACGTGTATTCTTTACAAAAAAAAAAACCCACTAAGCATGAATGAATACTCTTTTCTCCCCGAGACAGGACAGGATTTAAATCCCTCCACAGATGTGCACAAATAAAAACACGTTTGAAGGAAGGCGGGTTGAGTAATCTGCAGGAAGTATTTCCCCACTAGGATCTGCAGTTGCTTGGGGGTTATGTGGGAAATATTAGCAGGAATTTGAGGAGTAGAAATTAGAAAACAGTGAAATTGATTAAAAATGCATGAAAACCCCATTAGCAAATGAGCAGAGAAGTTGATACAGCTAGCTGAATGGGAAAAGGGTGAGATAAAGCAATACACAGTCAGAATAGTTAGCTGAAGGTAATTAATAAAGAGTTCAAATATATACCGATGAATTCATATGACAGGGATGTGAGGGCTAGTGCCAAAGTGGACCAAACCATGTTCACTAGTTTTAGAGAAAGATGGGGTCAAAAATTTTGTGTTGCTAAAAAAATCATAGCTGTTGGAGGAGTCATTATATGTAACGTAAGATGGTTCAACACTGTCCAGAGATAGAAACAACCACTTTGTAATGACTTATTTAAGTGCCAAAGCGGGCCATACCCATAGACCTTACAAAAGATGGACGTAGCTTCTGTGACGTCACCCGTTGGTTTGTGCACTGAGAAAATGAAGCCAGGGTTTTGCTACTTCCTGGTTGACATCTTGGATTTTTGGAGCCAGTGACGCAAAAATCATTGGAGGGGGGCGGAGCCATAGGAGCAGCGATTGGTCAGATGGATTGAGAGGCGGGCCCTCTCTGCCCGCCCACATTTACCGCCTTCTGCTTGCTTCGTCTGTATGGTCGCTGCCGACTGTCAATCAAGTCAGCCACGCCCCTTGCCCCGCAAATTCAGTATTGATTTATTTTCAGATTGGCCACCTGATCTCTGGATTTGACTATGAAAACTAATAAGAAAACAATCCTGAGCTGTAGGAATGCGGTATATTGTGATCTGTGATCACTTCTTTTCCAATTCATTTCTATGGGAGCCAGGGCTTTTTGGAGCCAGCAGCTAGCTGACGTAGTGATATTGCAGGTTTTTGACACTTCCGGGTTGGCTTCATTTTTCAGGGCCGGTTGCTACGTCCATCTTTTATACAGTCTATGGCCGTACCACATTTTCTACTTTTTGAGAAAAAAACTGATTCAAGGTTTGTCTTGCTAAACAGCTTTCAAGAGTTTCCATCATAAGGAACAAGAGATACTTTTGAGGACCAGGAGGTCGAAATAGCTGCTCGGTGGTGGTTTCCTAGGTTTTTATTTTACCTTATCGTACCTACGAGTTGAGTTTTCACTGGGCTTAAGGTCGCGCTGTCCGCCATCTTGAACGTTACTTGCGATATAATGATCAGTATTTCCTGTGGCTTGGCCCAGTTTGCCACTAAATTTTCATGCCAAAACCGTTATGGGCCAAACGCCAAACTTCAAAGTGGCGTTGTGACATTACTAGTGGGCTGTTGGTTGGACCACTTTTGCCACAAACTCGTAGACCATAAACACTTATCAAAATAACAGAAAACTCAGCTTTTTGTAGTTTGGCCCACTTTGACACTGAACCCTTCAACTGATGAAAAGGTTGGGAACTATTGATCTTGAGTGTCTTTGTGTTCACTATTTGTGCGTTTACCTGTTAGCCGGAGTGGAGAACACCCCCAGGATGATGTCCCTGCCGTGCATCCTGATGATGGGGCTGGTGGAGTGCAGCAGGTTGAAGTAGAAGTGGGAGTCGCCGGGCACGGAGCAGTTCAGACGGGCCTTCAGGAACGACGTCCACTGCTTCTCCAGGACTCGCTGCGATCCGCCTTGATCGCGTTTGCACACTCGTGCGACGCGTGACACCACCACCTGCGAGGAGTCAAGGCAGGGCGGCAGATGTAAGCAGAGAAAACGACTGCATGCTTCATGCACAGGCAACAGCGAACGCACAACTCCAATGATAAGCCGCAGACTTCTGAGTTTCATCTTTAAAAAAGGAATATTGAAAAGCTCGTTTCAACTCCGCGGTGATCTCTAAAGAGTCATTTGCATGCTATTTGCAATGTGGAAACCCTGTTTTGACACATCATTGTTTTATAATGGTAAATTTAATATCAATTATTCATGAGAATGTCACTGCATCTCAAAATTGCTTCTTTGAACACACAACGGCGAAGTATCCATTTACTCTGCTCTCTGTAAACATGTCAAAGGCAGAGACCTTGTGCAAGTGCCTCTCCCCAAATATGAATTGCTAATTTATTAGCGAAGCAGGTTCCTCGATACTGATATTTTTTAATAAAGATGTACCCGCAGCTCCGGTAAGGACAGGATGCATACAGAGGCGCTATAAAAGACCCCTTTTCAGGTTTATTCAGACATGAGCTGTTTGCTCGGGTCGTGATTTGCCGGATTAGATATGCATACAAACAAACACAAGGATGAAAGGTCAGTGGAGCTGTGGGAAAATAAGCTGATATTGACATTCACATAATAGCAAACTGAGAGATATTAGAGCAGCATCTCTTTTCATGCTTGTGGTTTAACGACACATTCACACATTCCTTTACAGGCCTTTTAAAAAAGATGCACTGAATGGACAAGCGGCTCTTCTGCGTGAATGCTGTGAGTTCAGGAGGAGAGGAGGATGTATTTCCATCAGAATGACTTCTATACCTTCTCCAGGTAATTGAACTCCATGGCTATCTCTCTGAAGAAGAAGTAGATGTGAGGTCCCCACTCCACAGCACTGACGAAATATGGCTCTGTATTGTCAGAGAGAGAGAGAAAAGTTAGAGGAAGAAGAAAGTCTACAGGAGAGGTAAAGGTTTAATGAAATTTAGATGGACGAGGAGAAAGCATGCAGCGAACAGCATCTCCATTTGCCAATGCATCATTAATTCCCACAACACCAAAGTAACATGGGGGCAGCGAGAAAGAGGCACAAGCCGTGCTTAATTTCATTACATGGTGAAAGGGGATTTCACAGCAAACAATAAGCGCATTATGACTCCCAGACGATTCTGAGGAATGAGTTTCACGCTATGCACTTGGCCGCTGCTACACCCAGGACCCTCCGCAACCTGAAGTTTGACGGGGATCGGTCAGAGAGCAGCGCACGGAGACGTCAGACGTCCCGCTCGCATCGATCCTGCTGAGTAATGTGGACACAAACTCCCGCCATCAGACTCCGATGACAGCGTCCGACGTCGATGCTGAGTTGGGGACACGCTTGAGAACACCGCAGCGGCTACACCGAACAAACACACCCCAACAGGCATTAACGACGACGAGCACACACGTCTGAAGGTACCTCTGAACCACTTGGAGTCGTGCTTGACGGTGCGCAGAGCGGGACTGTCCCCGAGGCTGCGATAGATCACCGCATCAATGGCCAGGAAGTCTGTCACTGTGGCTGTAAACAGATTCCCCTCTATAACACACACACAGACACACACACACACAGAAAGACTGGTAAGTTGGACAAACCACAATCAGCGAAGCCGCAGCTAATGCAACCATTTTCTCAAAGTCCTGCATTGTTAAGGCGATTTAATTGACCGAGCGGTAATGTAATTACAGCGACGTAATTTTCAACTTTGCACTCCCACGCAGGAAAAAAAAAAAAAGCTGCATTTTTTTCACTGCTGGCTAATATTAGATAAGAGGCTGATGGCTGAACAGTAAATGGCTCCCCACAGTTTCAGCCGCAGAACGACGATGATTTGATTATTAATGAAGTGTTTAAAGGGAGTTGAATGAAACTGAGGAGTCACACAGTTTGGTATTGTTCAGGATAATACATTAAAAAATACATAAAATCCTATTAAAAAATAACTATAAATTGCAGGGTTTTAGCCACAATATTTATATTCGTTAGGCTAACTTGTGTAATTTATAATATTGTAGAGTTCAGATATATTATTACATTAGTTTGGTCAATCTTTTATAACTCTGTCGTGTCCCAGCCTTAATAATGTTATAGTCAAATAAGGTAGTATTTCATCCAACTTTTGTAGGATTTAATGGTTAATATGTAAATAAATCAGATATAATCACACCTTAAGTAACGCTAAAGGGTCTTAACTGTCTTATTAGGTCACTTTTGTAACATCAATCATTGTCATTTATATTGAAAGGCACTTTGATGTTGTCTTAGAAATGCAATATAAAAGTACTGGCTCAGCTTTACAGAACTATTTTATCATCTTGTTCATGTTGAGGGTTTGTGATCTTAACTTTTTTTTTGGTTTTTTTTTCGTTTTTGTTTAATTTTACATTTGTTTAATTCTAAAGAGCTTCAGAAAGTTCTTTCAGAAAGGTGCCATACTACGGAAGCCGAGAGCGGTCGTTTTCCGCTACTGTTCTTTCTTCGCCGTTTTCTCGAGATAACGAGTTAATTTTCTCGTTATCTCGGGATAACAAGAATCGTTTTCTCGTGAAAATGAGATAATTGGTGTTTGTGTTTGCCCGCTCGTGCCCGGTCCAGGATGGAATCCCAGGTGTGCGGGACCTCCCACACACCTGGGATTCCATCCTCAGTCCCCAGCGGGGGGCCGGAGGACAGACCAGACCGGGCACGAGCGCTTCATTGTAAGCTGTCGTGCCCGGTCAGCTGTTCTCATGACACGTCATGTCGGAGTTCCCGGTCAGCTGTCTATATAAGATACGTCACACCAGGAAGTCCGACATCTTCTGATGAAGGCTGAAGTGACAGCCGAAACTGTCAACGGGATAATTATCTCGTTATCTCGGGAAAACGAACGCCGTGGGAAAACGGCGTTTAAAAAAATGTGCGGCCATGACCGCTCTCGGCTTCCGTAGTTGTCTTAGAAATGCAATATAAAAGTACTGGCTTAGCTTTACAGAACTATATTATCATCTTGTTCATATTGAGGGTTTGTGATCTTAACTTTTGTTGGATTTGTTTTCAGTATTAGTGTAATTTTACATTTGTTTAATGCTAAAGAGCTTCAAAAAGTTCTTTCAGAAAGGTGCGATATAAATATAGTGACCTATCTTGTATTCAAGAGACAAAATTATCTTTTCATGAAGGGGCAATGATTTTTCTGAGTTTCTAGTTCACTGCCATGACGGTGCCAAAAGTAAACACGAAAACGTAAAAGGTGCGTCTTACCTGCAAACAGAGCTACATTGGCGTGTTTGGGGTCGTACGGGCATCTCGCCATCCCACTCACTGTGTCTCCCACCATCTCCAGAGTGTCCCCCTGTGCGACGTACAGAAAGCGACACATCAATCAGCAAACAATGCACATGCATCATAAAACAAGCCACAAGAGAATGGCAATTAGGGCGCGTTGCCATAAGTGCAAGCTAATGATTCACTGGTGGCAATTAGGCGCAGAATGTGACACACTTGTGCATAAATAAGACACACACAGGGGTTAATATTTCACACCCGTGCATGTACGTAAACAGTGAAATCGCTGCTTTTTTCTTCTCTTTTTGTCAATTACAAAAAAAAACACTTAAAAAGTGAGCCACGATTTCCAGAGAGTCGGAGCACTCTAATTCCAATCCGGTGCTGAAAATGAAATAATTTCGAGATGTCATTTCATTAAAACCCCTGCTATAAATAAAACAGTAGCTAGCATCACTAACTAGTCCCCAGAGAAACAGGCGGCCTATCAGGCAGAGACAGGTGTGTTATACTCTGTTGTAGAATGTCATTAGTGGCTGACAGATAATGGGCCAGGTATGTCTCAGTGTTCCACTGTTGCGCTGCGTTTGAAATGTGAGAGACTGAAAATAACACTTATCTGAAAAAGCCTTTGATAGCAAAAGGATTTTTTTTTCTCTCTCTCTCTCTCTCTCTCTCTCTCTCCGACTCAACTGCCTTCATTCCTCGTTTAATATCACTGCAGGATGATGTGAAATCAGCCGAGCCGATGATTAATATTTATGTGTAGTTTCTTCTTCCACAAGTTTGAAGTTGTTACTGTAATTGAGCGAGACGGGGATTGGCTGTGGAAGTGGAGCACGCTCGGTGGAGGATTCAGGTGAGCTGCTGCTTGATGGATGCGAACCTTCAGAGTCTGACAAGTGTGTTTTTTTTGGGGGCCGGAGTGGAGGGAATATGCAGAAAATGCAGCGGCGGCGGCGGCGGCTAATTGCCTTAATCAGGCCGGTCGACACTTGTAGCTCGAACTCTTAAATTCCGCCTCAATCTGTGGGATTGCTTTCCTGTCTTCTACCACAGATATATATATATAAAAAACAACAACAACAAACCAAGGAAACAAGTCACGTCTGCAGCCTTTACTCTCTGAATACTCTCCTCTTCCTCTTTCACCCTCTTTGTGTTCTTCTTGATTTTCCGTCTCTGACTCTCAATGATAACAAGCTCGGCAGACCACAAAGTTTAACCACCGAGAAATAACAACTGTTGTATCGCGGGGAAACAAGGCGCTGGAACTGCCAGACAACAAAGATAAATAACTCCAGGGGAGGAAGTCAACACCGCCTCAAGTGCTGAACAAACAACTCTAATCAAGCTGTAAATTTTCACCTGAACAGACCAACTAATTGAGCTGTGAAAGCAGGATCTCCCTTCTGGAAAAAAAAAAAAAAAGCAGATAAGCCATTTATCAATTCTGTCAATGCAGTCGAATGAATGAACGCAGATTGGTGGGGGCTGTTCCCAGGTGCGTATTGACAGGTGTGATCAGGCGTGTTTTCTTACAGTGTAGTTGGCACATAGCGGGTTGAAGGCGTTGGTGCCGCACAGGAACAGGCCTCCTTGTCTGCTGAGCAGCACCTTCATGAAGTTGCGGCATTCATCCTGCGAGGAATGAAACACAGGCAGAGAGTTTAATATGCAGGAGGGGTAAAAAAAAAAAAAAAAAGTGAAGAGGAGAAAGACAAAACGATGAAGCAAATAGACGAAAAAGTGGGTTTATTTTTCAGAGGCTGATTATCCAAACCGCTCTGTGAAATGAAGCTTCTCAGTTGCCTGATGTGTGGAATTATCACACCATTAACGCTGTCAATCACATTGATACAGTCTGAACGTAGCCCGCGGAGAGTTTATGTGTCTGCGCGCGCACACGTGCCAACACGTGCACGGCTGACTGACAGGCTGTAATCCAGAGCCAGCCTCAGGATTTTTCTGTTTTAAAACAAGCAACAGATTTAAGGCTAATTTCTCCACCACCGGGCGTCAAACTACAGCAGGACGCTTTAATTATTAAATGAGTCACAGTTTCATTCTCCCGCGTTCGTTCTTTAAAACAGGAAGTCGTGACTCGTGTTAGAGCCGCATAATAGCCGCCCGTGCCCCACAGTCCCAAATAGTAATAAATGTCGGTGTAGCGAAACTGAGAGAAATGGCTTTGAAGTTAATCTCCTGCCTCGACAAAAGTGTTCACATGCTGATCATAAAAGTCAGCATTAACACGAGTCGTACTTTCATTTCAATCATTACCCCGCACATTTTTTACTCAATCAGTAACTTATAGCTATTTCAAATGCCAAAGCCATTCCTTCAGTTTTACGATTTTAGCCACGCTGTAGAAATAAAAAATAAAAAAATAAAAAAAATCTGTAAAGAAACGAGAATAGTCGACAGCCAAGGTGCCAGAAAAATATTAAAAAATAAATTAAAAAAATAAAATAAAATTGTGTAATGCTGTAATGTTCAAAAATTGTAGAAATTGTTGAAATTAAAGCAAACATCGGTGACATATTTATATTTTAGCTGATTTATAAACAATAAAACTTTATAATTTTATGGTCAAACTTTGTTAAAGAATGAATCACTGTTTCTGGTTTTAACATTTTTAATATAGACATAATTTGCAGTTTGTTTGTTTGTTTTTTTTTTTACAGTCAATCTGTAAATTAATATTTTTTTGGGGGGTGATTTTTACTTAATATTATCAGGAATTTACCAAAACAGGGAAAAAAATGGACCAAAAAAATTTGTAAAAAATACATTTTTCAATCCCTAATATACATATTCTATTTTTTCTTTCATATATTTTCATAGTTATTATCTGTAATTTAACAAAACAAAATATTACAGTTAACTCTGCAGTTTTTTGTTTTTACAGTGTACTTATTAATTATTCATTTCTAACCATTCAGGCATTACTTTTGCCTATTTGTAAGCCATCACTTTAAGTTAACAATTTTCCCATTTATCAGATATTTCTATCTAAATATTTAACTTATTCATTCTGTTCTCACTCGCTCATTATTTTACCATTTAATCCTAACTTTTGGCAAGACATCTCACTAAAAACAGATCATTTTTAACGATTTATCCATTTCTTTCAGACAAATATTTCACTCATATATCCATTATTTTTTAAGCTGCTTATCCTTTACTTTAACTTTTTTGTTGTTTTCTGTTTTTTAAATTTAAAAAAAATTATCCAGTTGCTAATTATCTCGACTTCACACTTTGTTTGCTGCTGGTTTTCACACCAGAGGCAGTGTTTGGGTGTTTTGTTGTTTTTTACATTTTTTAATTAAACCTAATTTAGATTTCATCAAATCAGTTAAGAACCATCAGAACACTGAGCGGATGGAATAACTGACCCACAGTACTGGCTTATCAGACATAAACATGAATGTATGTTTGCATTCCTGATTAAGAAATTAATGCAAAAGTCGCCCACAACTTAATATGATTTGAAAAATAAGAAAAAAATGGACAATTTCTTACAAAAATTTAGCGATTTACGTGTTTTAAAATGGTGGTTCCTCACCTTTTTTTGCCTTGTAACCACTTTAAAATCACGCAATATCCCTCTGATCAACCCTGAGGTTCTGGTCTTATAATGGACATGAGCTGCGGCCAATACAAACCGTTTGCCAGTAAAGTTTTTAGTACAGAAATAATAGTAAGACACATCACCACCCCTCAGATTCATCTTTAGTCCTGACTTTGGGGTTGGAAGCCCCCCCTCTGCAAACCAAAAAGGTAACATGATAGTCAACAAACAAAGAACCTTAATAACACGGCAGTAAATCTCTGTGTGTAGGAATCTGCATTTTTTTCACGGGTACTCGGCATAAATCGTAGCCGTGACCTTTGACTTTAAAAGCCACAAGACGGCGACTGCGGTTTGAATTTATGGAGCCCAGTCAGCCACCTGTGAGTGAGTGGTGATGTACAGTAGATTACTGGCAGACAGGAGCCAGCAAACCCCCCCTCCCCAAACTGCTCACGTCCCAGCCAGGATGGCACCAGCTCTGCCACTCACACATTCACATACACCAGATGGGGTCTACTTCAAGACCACCACCCGCACTGATGTCATCAGAAAGAGAGGCAGGGTTGAAGCCGAAGCGATGGTGGTGCTGATAGCTGGTATGTCAAATGACAGTTTGTATCCGCGCGCATGTGTGCGTGTGTGTGTGTTTGTGAGCGAATGTGTGCACAAGAGATCAGAGGGAGAGCCGTGATATGAGAGACGGGTGAGTGTTATTCCAGATGCTCCACCCTTCGCCGCTCTCCCCCACCGTCCCCACTTCTCTCCCTGCAGGGTTCTCGTTTTTCAGCAAGGGGGAAAAAAAAAAAAGAAACAGGAAAGGAGGAAGTGTTTTCATGTGTGGGGAGCGTGTGTGTGTGTGTGTTGGGGTGCGCGGGGTGTGTCAAGTGTGAGGTGTAAATTTCTAACGGCACAGCACATGCGACAAATTGAGGCACGACTGTGACAGCACATGTATGCGTGTCGCTCACATATACGCCCACGTACAGCATGCGTCCATGCGCGCCATATGCACACAAGCATGTGTGCGCGCATGTATTTGTGCGTCTCTTTCTCTCTGCGGCGCAGATGCATGCTCATGTGCGGGGAATCATTTGCATGCTGTTTGTCGGCGGGGTTGCAGTCTGTCGGCTTGGTCAGAGCTGTAATCACAAAGCCAGATGAAGCACTCTTAATAACAACCCAGCCTCACTGCCAGCATCTCAGAGATGGGCGTAAATACTTGGAGGAGCCAAACCACTGCACAAATGTGTTCATTTGGCAGCGCTTGTACACATAAAATGAAACATTTCATGAGTGCAGAATAAAAACAAGGTTTACAGCCTTTAACATTTCAACTATTGAGTTCCGATTGCCAGCGGGAGCTTTGCAAATTCGCCCCCTTGCTGCATTTTATTAACCCTTATGCGTGTATTCCGGGGAGTAATCTGGCACTTGCAGGTAGGAGTCTGTTCTATCTGTCAGCAGGATTAAGGTTTTACAGTGATTTCCACATTTTAAAAAAAAAACAACCAATGATAGAAGATCAAGCAGCCCATCTCTGAATTAAACAATCATATATATACAAATACAAATGCTGTATGTCCTGATGCCTCCCCTCCTCTCTCTCGCTCTCTCTGCACCCCTCACTCCCTGGGCAGAATCCAGACAAAACGCCACCTGTGCTGGCTGGCAAGGCTTCCCGAGACCCAGACGACTGCAACCATCCTCCTCCTCCTCCTCCTCCTCCTGCTCCTGCTCCTCTTACTGACAGTGGCAGAGCTGCCCGGGCTCTGAAAAATTAATCTGCAGCACAGATGAGTTACACAGGAGCACACGCCTCGGCGCAAATATGGATGTAGTCGTGAATGAAAGAGGGCAGATTTACAGAAGAAGAGTGCGGAAAAACAGAGGAGAAGACGGTGCACCAGTGTAAGCGTGTTTGCATATGCAAATCTGCGTTTATATAAAGCAGACACTAAGCAGGCAGCAGCCTTTAATCAGCCGCTGGCTCACGAGGCAGATGTTAGCCAGGCTAGTTCTTCTCGGCAGATGTTCATGGAGCAAGTGCAGTTTTCGGAATTCTGAGCGCAGACATCATCTTCCAGAGACGCACAAAAGCATCCAAAAGCATTTATAGTCATATAAATGCAGGTGATCACACACAGGCTCAACAACAGGTCCTCTGTTGCTACAACACATGTGCTCCAAACAACCTGCAGCAGTCAGAGCCCATTAAAACCAAACCGGCTCCACCTTCTGCATCTGCTTTCCATCTATTGTCCGAGTGCAGCCTCTTCTCTTAAATAATAAACTAAATCTTTTCATTGGGGCTCGATGTTTGTCCCGGTGATGAAAAAATACCTCACAAACACGGTGTTCTCCCTGCGGCTACAATCAGCTCTTGTTTGGTGTAACCGAATTACAAAATAGGTTGAGATCGTAAAAAGCGTTTGCTCATTTTCCTGCTTCTGGAGCGACTTTCTTTCTTTTTTTTTTGTAGCCTCGTAAAATATAATAAGTTATCAGGATGACCTGATTTAGTAATGCTCGTACAATAGGAGCCATCGAAGTTACATCAGGGGGTCGTATTTAGCAAGCAGCTCCTCTAAATCTCCAAAGTTTCCATTACATGCCTGGCTGGTCCCCTGATGTTAGCAACCAGGGAGAGGAGAGCTCAGATCTGCCAAGAGCCGCCATTGAGCCAGAACTCTCCCACACACACACACACACACACTCGTACTGTATACTGTATACACAACACACACACACACACAAAGCCTTGGCGAAACCTCTTCTCCACTCATTAACAACAGGTCTGTCATTTCCAGAAAGAAAAATCCCTGATGCATAGTTTTGACTAAAAAACGGAGTGACTCTCCACGCTTGGGAGAACGTGTGTGTGTGTGTGTGTGTGTGTGTGGGCGGAGGATAAATTAACAGCGGTACCAAATTAGCAGCAATGTGCCGTTCCGACTGCTGCGGTCTTACTCAGCATGTTAAAGCTAATCCGTATCCCTCTGCAACCCGTCATCACTGTTTGATGGTAATCCTGACTGAACACACCACAGGCCACAAGCAAACA